AGCTCCTTCCTTCAGCAGTAATTCTACAACATCACAGTTTCCTTCTCTTGCTGCTTCAATAAGAGCATCTCTTTTCTATAATAACAAGATAAGACTAGATTGGTTTCTAATGTTGCCATTTTCCTCCAAAAAATTAAACTTGAACTTTGATTGACATTAGTGAAACAGAATGTAAATTACAAAGTTGGGTACTTGCATAATGCACAATTACAACAATACTGCATTGATTCTAATTAGAAATGAGCTGTGTGTACACAAAGGGCTTGAGTGATTGTGTTTATAAAGGAAAAAGGTACTTGAAGGTGCTTTATAATTATTGTATAATATAAGCAGTAGTGCTTGACTTGTACTTATACATCGTACATGTACATGTAGTACTACTCTAATACTTCTAAGGACACTAATGCATAAAATTCAATATGTTACATTTTATAAATATTCTAACAATGCAATTAAAATAACTTACTATATTTGAACCTAGAAGATCATCTCCATTCTTCAGCAGTAATTCTACAACATCACAGTTTCCTCCTCTTGCTGCTGCAATAAGAGCAGTATCTCCTCTCTATAATAACAAGATAATCATAGATTAGTTTCTAATGTTGCAATTGTTCCCCTAAAAAAGATAAATATGTGTAGTATGTGGTTCTTGCACATTATACTTTAGATAAAACAACTAAGGGTAGCCTTGTGTATACCTGGCCAGACACTGTTTCAGTGTCACAGAGAATAGGGATCTGACTATGTGAGAATAATTACAGTAGTTAAAGGATAGAACATCATGCAAGACGTAACATTAATTTTTAGAATCATACATGAATGAACAAGACTTTGTAGCTAAATGTACATATACATGAGTGTATACAGTACATCATGTAAATGTAATGTACAGTAAGCAGTATGGAAGTGGTTCACAAAAGCTTTGTGAAACAGTTAATTAGCTTTTCATTTCTAAAATCTTGGTATACACATGTAGTATGTGTGAACTAAATTTATTTCTGTCAATATGCAACTGATACGGCTCACAGTGAGAGTACTATACACAATATAAAAGGGTCGAGAAGCTTCTACCTTGTACCCATTCTCATGCATGAACATCTAGATACATGTACATTGTACCTGTACATTTCAAATTCTTTTGCTATGCTTCAAACATTTACATGTACACTAGATGTGTTGAGGAAAGTACACTAAAGAGTTACTGTCATATGTATGTGTACATGTATTTTACATTATTAGTTATTATTGTTAGTTTAGTATTATCTAATTATGTCCTGTATAGTCTTGTCCCTTCAAGAACTCTATATAGTTTCTACTAGAACTCTCTTCTTTAGAACTTTCTACTGTGTATGTACTCTATCCTAGAATATTCTCTATTGTATTTAATAAAGTAATTTTTGTAACATTCGGTTGTCTGTAGTTCAGTTGTCAGTTGTTTTGATCATTTATTCAAGCAATTTATCATTAAACTTATCAAGATTTCTATCAGGTTATGAGCCCAGTCGTTCTCTAAAATGGTGGAGTCAAAGTTTGTCACGATAGTTCCTCTGAATGGTTCTAATTATCCAACATGGAAGCTATAGTGTCAAATGACATTAATGAAAGAGAATTTGTGGGGAATAGTCAATGGAACGGAGAGAGCCCCTTATGGAGATGGTGCTGCTAAGTTCCAGACGCGAAAGGATCGAGCCTTGGCTACAATAATTCTCTCGATTGATCCATCGCTATTATATTTGGTTGGTGAACCTGATGATCCTGTGGAAGTTTGGAGATTGCTCTCAAATCATTTTCAGAAGAAAACTTGGGCTAATCGTTTAGCATTGAGATGCAAGCTGCATTCACTCAGACTGGAGAAAGGACAATCTGTTCAGGAGCATATTAAGTCCATGACAGAAGTGTTTAGTGAGCTGAGTGTGATTGGAGATAATATTAGTGATGAAGACCATGTACACGTAGTTTATCTTTTAGCTAGTCTCCCGGAGTCTTTTGACATGCTAGTCACTGCTTTTGAAGCAAACAGTGATGTACCAAACTTAGAAACAGTGATCAAGAAACTCTGACATGAAGAGAAGAAACAGACCGAACGGAAGGCTGTGAATGAAACTGAGGAAGGCCTGACAGCAAAGCATAAAGCTAGGAGAGGTCCTAAATATCATTACTGCAAAAGGTTTGGACATATCCAACGTTTCTGTAAGGAAAGGGAGAAGGCTCTAACTCAAAGTGAAACCAGAAGTAGTACTGGTGTCAACAAATCTCACAGTACTCGTGCAACATTTCATAAAGCTAATAGTGCTACAACCAAGAAGCCTGCTGGTGATACTGACAGTGAAGAAGCAGGATTGGTAGTGGAACATGCCTTACCGGCGCAGCAAACTCTCAAGTCTCAGAATAAGTGGATTGTTGACTCTGGAGCAACAAGTCATACATGTATGTGTAATGACAAAGCATGTTTCACTCACATATATCCACTGGAGACCCCCTGGAAGTCAAGCTTGGTGATGGACAATCTTTAAGAGCTGTTGCTCAAGGCTCTGTGAAATTGACAATGAAAAATGGACATGAGAAGTACCGTAAGTGCAAATTGTATGGTGTCCTGTATGTTCCTGATTTGTCATGTAATCTTTTGAGTGTTTCTAAACGTACAGAAAGATTCAAGAGACTCAGGAATCTAAATGGAATGACTGAATTGGACACATCCACTCTTTAGTGAGAAGGAGTGTTGAGGAAAGTACACTAAAGAGTTACTGTCATATGTATGTGTACATGTATTTTACATTATTAGTTATTATTGTTAGTTTAGTATTATCTAAGTATGTCCTGTATTGTCTTGTCCCTTCTAGAACTCTCTATAGTTTCTACTAGAACTCTCTTCTTTAGAACTTTCTACTGTGTATGTACATGTACTCTATTCTAGAATATTCTCTATTGTATTTAATAAAGTGATTTTTGTAACATTCGGTTGTCTGTTGTTTGTCTGTTGTTCGGTTGTCTGTTGTTCAGTTGTCAGTTGTTTTGATCATTTATTCAAGCAGTTTATCATTAAACTTATCAAGATTTCTATCAAGATGTACATGTACATGTACATCACCTACACTGCTGTGTACATAAATAAGTATAGATAGTGGTTTGTCATTAATATTCCTAG